TTTTTTTTTTTTTTTTTTGAGACAAGGTCTTGTTAGGTTGCTAAATTGCTCAGGCTGGCCTCCAACTTGTGATTCTTCAGCAGATTCTTCCCAGACTGTTGGGATTACAGGCACGTGCCACCACACCTGGCTGAGTTTTCTATGTTCTTAATTCTTAATTCTTCTACCTTGAGTGACAAATGGCTACTCAGGTAAAAACATGCTCAAGATGATGCTTCTGCAAAGGTAACCAAATTCATTCATCATTATTTAAAACTTTCTGCCCATCTACATATATCCGTCTCATCCTAAACCATATCCCATTTTATTGTAAGAAAAGTAACTACAAAAAAAGCATTGGAAATGAAAAAAAGAAATTTCTTACTTACCAGTTCAACTTTTGGGCCAAGACCTTCAAAAATTTTATGGGCTTCTTCTGCTTTTTTCTAGAGATAAAGACATCATTGTATAGTATAATTAAAAATTATATTACTTAAGAGTAAAATCACTACCTAAAGATATTTACCTAAAACTAGCCTAGAGCCAATCTTAGCCTTATTTTCAAGTACTCTTTATATATGACTGGATGAAATATTCTAATTTTATTTTCTTATCTTTATTCACCAAATTTAGTTAAAGGTTAACACCTACAGTGAAAGCAATAGCTAAAGAATTGGCAAGTTCTCAAATGTAAACTTATTAAGAAACTAGAGGGGGAACACTCACTATTAGAAACAAATCCTCTGAACATTCTAAATAACTTTAATTAATGCTTTCTTTAACAGAAATTTTAAAACATCAAATACCATAAAGTGGCCAGTCTTTACTGCAGTATACCAAAGTGATCTCTTTGAAGAAAACCATAAAATGAGTTTGTTTCCAGTTACAAAGAAAACTTAGTAACACCTGAACAACAAAGGAAATAGCTATTTTGAGTACTCAGAAGGAAGTAAATATTAAATTATATATTTAACTTGCCATTTTCAAAAGTAAAATACATAGACCAGTGGCAGCAAACCCAGGCACATATATCACATGAGGCTGTTTTGTCACTGAAAGCTCTAAAGGTTGGCCATGACTGATCTAGACCAAAGTTCTATCTAACACAAATCTCTGTTGTAAAGAACAAAAGAATCGATCTATAGTCTGGCAGAAAAATTCCTACTTAAAATTCTCCATATTATAATCTTTATTTGAAGTCTACAGATAAAAGTTAATTTTTCAAATATATGCTGAGTATTTTCTATTTGCCAGGAACCTTTATAAACACTAAGAAAACCCCTCCCACCATAGGAGAGTAAGGAGTCTTAAAATACTTCATAGAACAAGGGAGTGATGGGAAGGGGTGTGAGTGAAAATAACGAAAGTATTTTACACACATAACCAACTTGCACTAATAAAAAGATATGAAACAAAAAAGTCCTCATGGACGCAATATTTGAGCTATAACTTGAAATGCTCCATAGACTGAAAAGATAAAGCACTGGATCACCCAAAAGGAGGAGCAACACAGTGGAGGTAAAGGAAACATTTTCAAGAGAACATTCAAAATCTGTTCTGGTAGGGTATCGTGAGGAAAAGAGTTTCAGGGTAAGGGCCAGGTATACAGAATGTAAACACTGGTACAAGGTTTGGATTATTCCTTAGAAAGAAGAAAACTATGAAAAGGTCTTGTTTTGAGAATTACATGATGAGGTGAAATGGGTTAGAAAGAAAATTTTTTTTTTTTTGGTACCAGGGATCGAACTCTGGTCCTTGAGCTTGTGAGGCAGGCGGCAGAACCACTGAGCTAAATCCCGGGCCCCAGAAAGAAAATTTTAAAACTAAAGGAAAGAGACTCATTAACTGTGAGACGAGATAGGACTGATGTTCTCTAAGGACTAACTAAACATAAACAAGAGACAAAGGGACTAGCCTGGGTGACTGGAGGCTGCTGGCACCAAGCATATGCTATCAATTCCTCCTTTTCTTCTGGTTGTCATATTCTCTTGCAAATCACCAAATCAAAATACAAACAAGACATTTTTGAAACTACATTCCAACAACCACTTTTCTATATGTATTATTATTCTGAGATCAGAGCACTTTTATTTTTGGAACCTTCAACTGAGAAGGAAAATAGCAAAAGCAAACTGTTAAAAATAGTCCATGAAAATAGTATGTTTAGAGCCTAAACAAACTCTGAAGTTTAAATATGATGGAAGTTAACTTTTGTCCCAGGAAGCCAATTTTAAAATTAAGTCTCTTTAAGGGAGAAAGAGACTTAGTGTCTTACTCCCACTAACTTTCTAAATAAAAGAATGACTTCTCATACGTAATAATGGTAGCTATGTCTTAAGCCGTATGTCTTAAGTTAATTCTGCTATACAAGGAATAAAGGAGAGAGATATTCTCATCATTATCCCATCACTCCTTGCCTATGGTGTCAAAACAGATAAGGTTATTAATTTTTAAAAGCTACAGAGATCCAGGCATGGTGGGTACATGTCTGTAATCCCAGCACTCTCGGAGGTTTAGGCAGGAGGATCAGAAGTATGAGGCCGGCCTAGGAGACTTACAGAGACTGTCTCAAAATTAATAGGAGTTCAATCCCCAATACTAGAAAAAATAACAACAAAAATTACAAAGGCAGTGGAGGCCTTACAAAAGGCAGCACAGTAAGGTAAGAAGAGTACTAGAGTGAACAGTGAGAAAGCCTATGTTCTAGGCCCAGCAGAGCTCTCCTGTTTTCCCTCCAGGAGCCCCTGCTATGATTCTAGAACTGCAGAAGTACAACTGCAGCAAACTACTACCAGCAGAGTATATTAATAAAAGCATGTGAAAGAAAAGATGATTTCTATAGTAAAAATGGTCTTCAATATTAGAAGATAGTCTAATATGAAGATTTTACACTTGGATTTCTTTTCTTCAAAGAATAAAGACCAAACAAAAATGAAAGTGCTAAAACAAAAAGAAGAGGGCTGAAACGAGTGTTTTAAGTTTTGTCGAAGGGCATTAAGAAGCATTTACTATGCTATCTAATGAAGGCATCTATATAATTAAACACAAGTAAAATTCTCTAACAGGTCAAGAGCTTTTTAGTCCTAATACCCCAATAAAGTAACCACAAAATTAATGAATATTGGGATTGGTTTTGTTTTATTTTGTTTTGTTTCTGTTTGGGTTTGCTTTTCTGAGACAGGGTCTCACTATGTAATTCACGCTGACCTTGAATTCACTATGTAGCCCAGGCTGGCCTCAAACTAACAGCAATCCTCCTGCCTTAGCCTCCCAAGTGCTGGGATTACAGGCATGCGCCACCATGCCCAGCAGAACTTTTTAAACCCACAAGACAAGGCTCATTTTAAAACTCATTCAAAAATATAAAAAATTTTAAAACTAAAAAAAATACAAAACGAAAAAACCTCATTCAATAAATATCCAATTTATTTGAAAATTAACTCATACTTTAAAAAGTCAGCATTTTATATAAAAAAACTTACTAAATTCCACTGTTATCAGCTCTAATCCCAATTTACTTTACCTCTGAGGTCACAAGCGCCCAAGAATCCATCAGCCCATAAAAGTGTCTTGTAATTTTAAGCAGTTTTTCTTAAAAATCTAGAGATTTCACATAAAACCCCTTAATTTTTGGCTTCTATTAAATAAGGGGTAACTGTCTACACTAGGCCACATTCCCCCTTTATGAATGGCATAAGGTAGTACTTGTCACCTGCTTCCCTACAGCCCTCCACTTGCACTGGAATTTATATGGATTGTTCTGGCTATTCAACAAACTGGACCCGCTCTGATCCCGCCCAGGAAATAATATTAATGTGACCATTTTTCTCTGCCCCTGATACATGTGTATTATACATGTGATGACTCTAGATTCTCTACTTTTATACATAACATACAGACATGTAATATATACATGTACATCTGAGTCCAAGTGCATTCCTATTATGTTAAATTACTAATTCACAGTTGCTTTCTTTTTTTCTTTCATTTTCCTCTTCAGTGCTGGGGAACCCACAGCCCTGCACATACTAGGGAAGTTCTCTATCATAGAGCTACACCCTAGACAAGTTACTTTTTAAAGGCCAATTTCCTTTAAGATCCAGCTATTAGAATATTAAAAGCTATCTGTGCAAAACAAATTGATGTCAACTCACTACAATGTAAATAAAATGAAAACAACAATCCCAACTCTTATTCTAACCATCAGTTGAAAAGTCTGTCTTCTCACACAGTATGTAAAACCTATTAACACATTTTGGATTGAAGACTTCTGGAAGCCCGTTGTTTAAGCAACTCTGATGGATTTTTTTTTTTTAATATTTAGGTGAACTAAGTTTCTCTTCCAGCTAGTATCTGGGCCAGGTTTTGGCCAAAAACTAACTTTGTCATTACAAAAATAATACATAAAACTGAGGTCTGGTTTTCCTGAATCTATGAATATTTTAAGAATATGAAAGAAATTAATAAAAATAAAAACTCAAGCTGGGCATGGTGGCACATGCCTATAATCCCAACACTCAGGAGGCTGAAGCAATAGTACTGCTGCAAGTTTGAGGCCAGGCTGGTCTACACAGTGAGTTCAAGGCCAGCCCAAACTACATAGCAACATCCTGTCTTAAAAAAAAAAAAAAAAAAACAAAGCCTATCTAGAGGTCAAAGTCTATCTTGAACTTATAAATTTATATAGCTAAAGTTCAACCATGGGCCGGGGATTTAGCTCAGTGGCTCCGCCGCCTGCCTCACAAGCTCAAGGTCCTGAGTTCGATCTCCAGTACAAAAAAAAAAAAAAAAGGTGAACCATGGCCTATCTCTCAACTCTGAAACTAACAAGAGTTCATTTCCACTTCCAATAACCCGTCTGTACTGATATGTTGTCAGGATTTGGTATTAAATGTTCCTTAAGAAATAAAAATCTAGGGCCGAGGGTTTAGCCCAGTGGTGCTGCTGCCTGCCTCGCAAGCGCAAGGTCCCAAGTTCAATCCTGATACCAAAAAAAAAAGGAAAGAAATAAAAACCCACTGAATGGCTGATTTGTATGAAGTGCCACCTAATTTCTTCTCAATATTTATTAAAGAGAGAGACTGAGCTGAAAAAAGTTCTACTTGTTAAACATTTACATAATACAAAATGTAAAACAGAAATCAGATTTTAATATAAATATAATTACAACAGAACATATTTGGGAACTACAAAAGGCAAAGTCAGGTGAGTTTAAAGGTCTGTGCTGTCAGAGAAGGCATAAGCTTACCCGATTCTCATCATAAATAATTTGGACAATACTGCGGTGTTTCTGCTCCACAGGAGGAGGGGACACAGGCTTCTCAGGCTCAGGAGGTTTAGCTGCTTCTTCTTCAAGCTGTTGCTAAGAGATCCAGAAAGGAAGAGTCAGACACCTGCTGCACGTCACCCCACCAGAAATTAATCGCCAGAGATAACACAAGCGAAATGCTTAACAATTCTGTAGGAAAACCATTTAATCTACAAGGGACTCATAAACCCAAGGGCTCAAAGAAAAACAATCAGACTTAATACCTAAACAACACAAATCGCTCTAAGACAGACAGATACAAAACTAAAGGGAGATATCCACATTTTACTTGATAAATTTAAAGTAAAACATTAAGAAAAATAAAACTTAATGAAGGTACCAAATATACCTCCATCACAATGACCTCTGGAAAAACACTACTGTACATAGTATATATAAAGATCTGGTGGAAACAACACAGTAGACTAGAGCTTGAGGGTTAACTCTTAACTCAGTACAACACCATGGCACCCCAACCCCCAATTTATCTTCTGGTGTTCCAGTCAAGAAGCACTGGACTCCTCCTGTATGCAACTGCTTATCTGTACCGAGCCTCAGGGTCACCCTTTACAGGTGATGTGAGTCTAGAACCCTTTCTGGGTCCTTACCTCAATCCTAAACAAGAATCTACCACTCATATGTAAAGTAGGGAAAACAATACTTACCTATCAAATAGTTTTTGAAAGAACTAAAAGACATACAAAGTGCATTATAACTACAAATGTTCAGTAAATATCACCTCTTACTATTAGTGATGTAGGCAGGAACTTGTTTGCTTGCCCACTGCTTTTTTTTGGTACCGGGAATCGAATTCGGGACTTTGCGCTTGCAAGGCAGGTGGCAGAACCCCTGAGCTAAATCCCCAGCCCTGCCCACTACTTTTTTTCATTACCTAACCAATGCCTAGAACCTAGTAAATGCTCAACGATTAGCCATATGAATAAATATGGGCTAACTCCGCATAAGAAGATAAACAGAACATCAGGTAAAACTAAGTGAAGTCTAGTACAAGGTCTAAAGGAAAAAAGTTATCTGTACTACCAAGTAGCAGTGACAGTCAAAGCTCTTACTCTTGTTAAGTCAGACCATGCTCAAACGAAAAGATGAAAATATGCCAAGAGAGTACTTTGGAAGAACATTTCCATTTTGGATCTGCAAGTCTCTTATTTGGATCTCGCAGTCTCTATCTTAAGATCTTTGAAATCCTGGGATCATTTTTATGGGAATGGGTTCTTCAATGATGCCCTTTTTTTCTCGTTTAGAGGGCCTCCTTTGAGAATCCCCACTGAAGAATAAACAATCTTCAAAAAAATCACATGTCATTCTTAACTACTACCTACACAGTTCTAGGATTAAATCGTAACTGTATGGTTAAAACCAAATTAGCAAATTAACACACAAACAAAATCCTTCCTTAAGTATTTGTTCTTTTATTTTAACTATATTCATTTTCCCAAATTTTAAAAGTAAATTTAATTGGAATGTTTATTGAAATTGTATGAAATATGGTTTAACATACCATGATAAACCACTGTTAATTTGTTTCTATCCAGCTATGATATGCTTCTTTATTTACTCTAACTGCCTTTTATATATATTCCTCAATATAATTTGGTTTCTGTACATCTCATAATGCCCATACAATACATATTATTGCTAATTATTATACCACATCTCATACTGGTCACATATTTTATTATCTCTAATTATGTTATCAAATATTTACTATGTACACATAATGCAATATATTGAGAAATTTAGTAAAATCAGACCCACAAAGACATAACAGAATTGTCAAAAACATTGATTAAAACAGAATATAAAAAAAAAAATGACAGGGGGTTCAGTGGTTCAGTGGTTCAGTGGTTCTGCCACTTGCCTCAAAAGTGCAAGGACCTGGGTTCAATCCCCAGTACCAAAAAAATGACTGGGCAGATTTGAAAAGGAGCCAAACAGAAATCAAGAAACATATTATTAAAACTGAACATAGACTTGACAGCAGATTAAACTCACAAGAGAAATGTAAACTGGGAATGAAGTTCAAAGAAGTGAAAAATAGAAAAGTATAAAATCATAATGTTAAGTAAAATAAATCAGCCACACAAACTTAACTATCACATGGTTTCTCTTATATGAGAAACCCAAAGTATAAATAAAGAGCAAAATAAAAGCTACATGATAGCAAACAGAAAGATAGATCTTTTACAATTGGGCAGAAGACCAAAACATGGAGGGAGAGGGAGAGAGGGGAAGGGAAGAGAACCTAAAAAAGAATTCAGATGCATTATGTACGTGTACCAACTCCCCACAATGAATATAATCATTATGTACTGCAAATATGTACTAATAAAAATAATTTTTAAAAAGAGAAACAAGAGACAAAGAAGACAAGAATGATTAGATTTTATATCTCAAGGGTTTTGTTTAAAGGTGGGAGGGGGCTGAGTGGGAAGGGGGAATAGCTCAATGAGATAGTAAGTACTTCTGGATTCAATTCCCCAGCATGGAGCGGGGCCTTGGAATTGATGAAAACTTAACCCTCACACTTAGGAAGCTCAACAAACTCATGCTGGATAGATTTTAACACAAAAACCCACACCCAAATGCATCAGTCAAAATAACAATCCCAAAGAAAAAGAAGATATTGGAACCAGCCAGAGAGAAAATTCAGATTATCCACAAAAGAGTAAAAATTAAGACTAATGGAAACCAGCTGGGAGGCTGAGGTAGAAGGATCACAAGTTTGAGCCAGATATGGACAACAACAGCAAAATCCTGCCTCGAAATAAAAACTTTAAAGAAGAGGACGAGGGAGTGTTGGGAATATAGCTCAGTGCAAAAGTCTTGGGTTCAATCCTCAGTACTGAAAAGGCAGGGGGTGGGGCGCAAGAGGAGAAGACAATGTACTAAAATGAAATAACCACATACCAAATAAAAATACCTCTCAATTATCAGGCTTAAGACAGTATTTAAGTCATAAAAACCAAGCAAATACTACTTTTGTCAACTCTCCGACCTTCACTAAAAGAAATTCTAAAGAATATTCTCTACTCAGAAATGTGTTTCCCCAGATTGAAGATCTGAGCTAAAAGAAGAAATGATGCACAAATAAGATGACAAATACATGGGTAAACCTAAAGAATCACTGACTACATACACAATATAACAATGTAACTAACAGTTTATAAAAACAAGTGTGAAGTGAAATACATAACAACGTCACCATAAGAGCTGGGAAGAGAAACAAAGTAAAAGGCATTACTACAGAAACAGAATATTTATAAAAAATATGGTCATAATACGCAAAAAGTCTTAATTTTTTTTTTTTTTGGTACTGGGGATGGAACTCAGGATCTTGCACTTGCTAGGCAGGCACGGCACCACTGAGCTACATCCCTGGCACAAAAAGTCTTGATTTTAACCAAAATTTTCAAAACTATACAAACATTATATTTTCTGGCCACAACAACATAGGAATCTAGCCACAAAAATAACCGAAGTAATTAAACACATAGAAATTTTTCAAAACACCATTAATATTGTGTGATTAAAAAAAGAAATCATAATAAACAACAGAAAGTTTGCCGAGGATTTAGCTCAGTGGTTCCACCGCCTGCCTCACAAGCTCAAAGACCCAAGTTCGATCCCTGGTACAAAAAAAAAAGAAAGTTGTACAAATGAAAAGGTGTTGCATGTGCCTAGAGTATAAAGAAAGAGGGAAAGGGTGAAAAACTACAAAATTAATGTGTTCGGCATTCGATTTAAAATGTTATAAACCAGGTATGGTGAAGCACACCTGTAATGCCAGCACTCAGGAGGCAGAAGCAAGGACTGTTGTGAGTTCAAGTCCCACCTGGGCTACAAAGTAAGTTCAAGGCCAGCCTGCACTACAAAGTGAGACCCTGTCTCAAAAAACAAAAACAAAACAAGACAGAAAGATGTTATAAAAGAGCAGAATAAAACCAAAGAAAAGAAATAGCAAAAACTTATTAGAGGGTACAATTACATTCCCAAAAATGAAGGCAGAAAAGAACTTATTGACAGTCCACTTGTTTAGCATGTGTGAGGTCCTGTGTTCAATTCCAAGCACCAAAAAATAAAAAAGGGACCCTATCTGAAAGTAAAAAATAAAAATTTTTAAAAGGCTGAAGATATAGCTCAGTTTGATGGCCCTGGGTTCAATCTCCAGTGCCACCAAAAAAAACCCCCCAAAAAACACCTATATCACTAGTTAAAAATCCAGATTCTCAAAAAAAATGAAAAAAGAAAAAATGCCCACTAGGCCCAACTGATTTTACCAGTGCTTAAATTCTGCCAATCCTGGGCTGGGGATTTAGCTCAGTGGTTCTGCCACCTGCCCCGTAAGTACAAGGACCCGAGTTCGATCTCCAGTACCAAAAAAAAATTCTGCCAATCTTAAACCCTCTCAGGATTTAGAAATAGTACAAGAGTATAACACTAAGACTACCTGTTACCAAAACCACATAAGAACAGTACAAGAAATTATTATAAACTGATCTCCCTCATAAATATAAAAAAGACCCTAAAACACATATTGTTAAAGTAAATCCAGCAGTTTATAAAACCTAGATATTGTATCAAAACTAAGGTAGGTTAAACCCAGCAATGCACAGATGATTTAAAAGTAGAACAAGTAAGGTAGTTCATTTTAAGAGACTTAAAGGAGAAAGCATGTATGATCAGCAAAGTATGTTAAAAACAAAAAACATTTGCCAGGCCTACTGGCACAGGCCTGTAATCCCACTACTCAGGAGGCTGAGGCAGAAGGAACGCCACGAGTTTGAGGCCAGCCTGTACTATGTAGTGAGTTCAAGACCCACCCGGACCTTTGAGACCCTGTCTCTAAATAAATAAATAAACAAATAAATAAAATTTGATAAAATTCAACATTCCTTCATGATTAACATCTTTAAAACATTAACAATAGATGGTTGAGGGCCGGAGATTTAGCTCAGCGGTGCTGCCTCCTGCCTCACAAGTCCAAGGTTCTGAGTTTGATCCCCAGTACCCAAAAAAAAAGAATTGATGGTGGGGCCAGGGATTTAGCTCAGTGGTGCCACAACTGCCTGCCAAGTGCAAGGTCCTGAGTTTGATTCCTAGTACCAAAAAAAAAAAAAGAATACATAGAAACTTCCCAACTTGATGACACATGTCTACAAAATGTCTACAAAACTTATAGTATGATTAGTGGTTAAATGTAAAAGACATTCCTATAAAGAGAAGAAACAATAATGACCACTTTCAGTATTTTATTCGTCTTAACCACAGCAATAAGACAATAGAAACATAAATCAATGGAATAAAAACTAGAAATGAAATTCTCATCTTTTTAAACTGTTGATATGACCATTACACAGAAAGCCCCAAAGAATCTACAAATAAACCACTAGCATTAAAACAATAATTTAAGGATATGGCTGGTCAATATAAAAAACTTAAGTGCAACAGTTAGAAAAATGTCATTTTTAGAAACTTATTTTGAATGGAGCATAAAAAATATAAAGTACCTAAGGTTGAATCTAACACATAGCATATAAAATATTTATGGACAAAAGTCAGAACATGAAACACCTCTAAAGAAATGGACAGCCGGGCTTGGTGGCTCACACCTGTAATCCCAGCACTTGGAAGGCTGAGGTAGGAGAATCACTGCAAGTTCGAAGCCAGCCCGGGCTACATAGTGAGTTCAGGGCAAGGCTGAACTACAAAGGGAGACCCTGCCTTAAAAAACAAAAAAACAAGGACAGATATACCATAGTTATACAATGGAAGACACAATATTATAAAGATATTATTCTGCTCAAATTAATCTCTATATTTCATATGATTCCATTTAAAGTTCCAGAAAGATTTTCTGGAGAACCAAACAACATACTAAAAGTTGGATGTAAAATTTTAAAAATGGCTAAAATACGCTTACACTGAGGCTTATCTTATGGATAAGATTATAAATCTCTAGTGATTAGGAGAATCTGCTGTATTTCTGTAACAATATTTCAAAGACAGACCCATAGAAGGAAATCGAAAGCCCAGAAATCAATCCATATGTAGATGAAAACATGAATTATAATGAAGCAAATATTGCAGAACAGTTGGAGAAAGAATAACTTTTCAATTAATTATCAATATAAGAAAAAAGTGAATTTTGAGCACTAACTTCATTTTATTTATTTATTTTTTTTGGTACCGGGGATCAAACTCGGGTCCTTCCGATTGTGAGGCAGTCACCGGAACCACTGAGCTAAATCCCCGGCCCTTGAGCACTAACTTCAGACTGACACAAAAATCAATTTCCAGTGGATTAAAGAATATGAGAACCAAAACTGTGAAACATTTAAGAAGATAATAAACTACCTTATTCATCCAAACCTAAAGAAATTCTGTTCACTTAAAACCAAAATTAGTATCACAGACCCAAATACAAGGGCTCAGGCCATAAAACTTACAGAAGAAAACACAGATATACATCTTTGTGACCTTGGATTAGGCAATGGTTCTTAGAATATGATACCCAAACCACAAGTAATTGAAAGAAAAATAATAAATTAGACATCAAGGGCTGGGGATTTAGCTCAGTGGTTTCGCTGCCTGCTGCACAAGCGTAAGAACCCGAGTTCAATCCCCAGTACCAAAAAAATAAATAAATAAATTAGACATCAATAAAATTAAAAACATCTGTACATCAAAGGAAGTACTACCTTTCACTACCAAGGAAGTGAAAAGACAACAAACAATAATTTCTACAGGCCATTATATGATGATGGTCTAGTATCCAAAATATAAATATAAAACCTCTTAAAATTGAACAATAAAAATACAAATAACCTAATTAAATAACCAAAGGAAATGAATGGACATTTCTCTAAAAAATAAATACAATTGGCCAATAAGCACATGAAAAGACATTAAAACGTCATTAAGGAAAACAACACTAAAGAAATACAAATAAAAACAACAATGAAATATCACTTTACATCCACTAGAATAGCTAAACATACATACACAAAAAGGAAGAAAATACATATTAATAAGGAAAAAGAAAAAGTAGAGCCCTCATTAACTGCTGATGGGAATGTAAAATGGCAGAGCCACTTTGGAAAACAGTTTGGCAGGTCTTCATATATTTAAATAAAGATTTACCTTACTATCTGACCTAGCAATTCCCCTTCTAGGTTTATATAAAAGAAAACATAGAGGGCCGGGGATTTAGCTCAGTGGAGCGGTGCCTGCCTCGCAACCGCAAGGTTCTGAATTTGATCCCCGGTACCAAGAAAAAAAGAAAAGAAAACATAGAAAAGATGTATCTATACAAAAGCTAGTATAAAATGCCTACCAACTGATGAATGGATAAATAAAACATGGTATACTCATGCAATGGAGTATTTAGCCATAAAAGGCTGATGCAAAATAGAACATGGATGAATCCTGAAATAATGCTAAGTAAATGAAACCAAACACAAAAGGTCATATATTAAACTATTTCATCGGAAATGTTTAAAATAGAAAAATCATAGATACAAATAGATGAGTGGTTGGAGATGGGAATTGAAAAAAATGAGGAATAACTACAAATGGATATGGGGTTTCTTTTCGAAGTGGTAAAAATGTTCTGAAGTTAAATGGTGGTGATAACACTAATTGTATGCTTTCAAAATCATGGCATGTGAATTATACCTCAATTTTTAAAAAGTATTCCCAAGAAAAAATAAGAACTAAGATACATCGTGTTTAGGTACAAACATCCAATGATAAATGTAAATGTATTTTATACCTAAAATGTACCCGCAAATATATAAATAAATTAATTTTTTAAAAAAAGTATTCCCAAGAGCCAGGGGCAGTGGTGTATGTTTACAGTCCCAGCTACTTGCAAGCTGACACAAGAGGATCACTTGAGCCCAGGAGTACAAACCCAGTCTGGGGAATATAACATGATCTGTCTCTTAAAAAATAAAAATCCTCCCTCAAAAAAAACTATTGAAAAAAATTAAATGACAAGCCACAGATTAGATGATATCTGATATACACATAACTGACAAGAGACTTTAGGAAATCTTAAAATTAAAAAACAATGAAATAAGAGAATATGGAGAAGGGGATCAAGAGATGGAGGGAGGAAAAAGGGAGTAGAAGAGAAAGGGACCTAAAAAGAAATTAAGATGTGTTAGGTACATGTACCAACTCCCTAGTAAGAATGTAATCATTATGTACCACAAACATGTAGTAATAAAAAAGTTTAAAGTTCGCTTGCCTCGTAAGCGCAAGGTCCTGAGTTCGATCCCCAGTACCGAAAAAATAAAGTTTAAAGTACAAAAAAGAGGTAATATTGCCTGGTGTGGTGGCACACACATGTAATCCCAGCACTCGGGAGACAGAGGCAGGAGGATCACTGTGAGTTCAAGGCTAGCCTGGGCTACACAGTGAGTTCAGGGCCAGCCTGAACGACAAAGCGAGACCCTGTCTCATAAAAGAACCACAGAGAGAGACAATATGGACATAAGACTTGAATGATGTACATAAAAAAAATATAAATCATAAATAGAAATAAACAGCCTCATTCCCAATCAAGAAAATGCAAATTAAAATAGTGGGAACTATTATTTCACATACAAATGAAAAAAAAAACTAAAAATAAGAACAAAAACATACCCAAGTAAAGGCAGGGCTATGTACAAACTGGTAAATATATATGATGACAATGGGAGTATAAAATGTCACTTCCATTTTCACAAATTTGGTACCAAATAGTAAAACCAAAGTGCATACACTCAATGAGTACAGCAGGAGAAATGAATGGATGAAATTATGCAAATTACTAGCAAAAAAGGCAAGTCATGGAATATATTAAGGCATAATTCCTTTTATATAAGGTTCTATATGGAAAATTCAACATTATCTTCTTTATGGAGATAAGCACATATTACAGAATACATGAAGTAGTAAAAAAACCAAGCACTTACTTGTTTCTTTTTCAATTTAAGGATCTGCTGTTCTACTTTTGCAATTTCTCGATCTACACGATCCATACTCTGTATTAACTCCTCCTTTGAAAGCTTTGAGGGTGAAGCATTTTGATCATCTCCACATGGCTGCCCAGAGATTGGAGAAGATGGAGCTTCATGTTTGCCTCCAAATGCTGAATCCTTTAGAGAAGAAAATTAAGACCAACAACTTACTTTTCACTAATAGTCAATGTCAGAGTCAAAACTGTCTTAACAGCCAGATATGGGGGTGCACACCTGTAATCCCAGCACTCTGGAGGCTGAGTTGCCATGAGTTGAGTTCAAGGCCAGCCTGAACTACCTACTGAGACCCTATCTCAAAAAAAACAAAAACAACAACTGTCTTAATGAACGAGTAAACTTTAAAACATAGCAGAGTCATGTATGCTAAAAGTAGTCTTTTTGTAGTAATTTTCATATTCACATACACATGCAAATAATATACACAAATGTGTATACCACTTTTATAGTTTACGTACTATTCTGAAAACCCAAAAAGCTATTTAGAGTGAGCGTGAGGCAGCCAGGTAGCTGATCAGCTGTTAAGTGCAATAATACATAATGACACTAGAGAATTCTGGAAAATAACAGTGAAATCATGACAAAGGAAGACACTAAATTCTCAGGTATTTTTTGTAGGGACTCTTCAAAAGGTTTGAATGAGTAGGCCAGGAAATAGTGTTACCCTAGTCAGTGGTGGCATGCAGGCCACAGTGGGCTATTTATCATTGAAAGCTCTGGAAGGTTCACCATCACTGCCATAGGTAAAAACCTGTGTGTCTACCCAACTTACTAGCTATGATAAAGCCAAGAATTCCTACCAAAAACTCTTCAGTGACTGGAATCATAGCTCAGCAATAGAGCCCATGCTTTGCATGTATGAGCCCCTGAGTTTGTTCCCCAGCACCCTGCTCCCGCCAAAAAAAAGTTTTCAGACTTTCACAGGATTAAAACTGAAGCACAGCAGTCAGAGAAACTACCTAGGAACTTTCAGTGATAGTGGACCTGCCTTGATAAAGGGAAAAAGGGCAACAAACTCTCACCCTCTACTACATATATAACACCTCTTTAGCAAAAGAAAATCATTTCATTTGACTCCCCCCAAAAAGAGAAAAACCTCATCCCATTCCACCTACAAATCAGCATGGAATGTAACAGAATGAAAATCCTCCATACATCTACTATTCCCAAAATGCACATACTCACACAATTTTCAGTTTGAAGTAAAGATAAAAGTAATATTTTAAAACAGATAAATTTCAGATTAAGGTTCCAATTTTCCTTAGGCTATGAGAAACCTAGAATGAGGATGGTCTGTAGGATTATAAAAAGCTAAAATGTATTAAATAATAACAGAAAAATCAATAGCTCTAAACCAAGAATGAGCCTAGGAGATACATAGATAGGTGTTCCAAAACAAAGTAGAGATTTCAGCTAAAACATAAAAATAAGATTATGGCTATACCCTAAACCCTGTACAACTCCATAAGGAAAGCATTAAAAAAAAAAATTCTAATAAACTGAGTAATACAGTTAAATTCCAGTATCATTTGCATTTAGCATACACTCAACCACTGGCAGAAATCCCTGTACTTCATACATTCATGGTAAGATTTAAATTTTTGAGATAACCTGCTTCCAGAAGAAAACAGAATGTTTCTTCAACATAAAAAGTCCTATTTGGGCTGTAACCATCTTTACCAACATTTAAAAACAAAAAATACAGGGGAAAATGTTTTTATGGTGTCTTTTCAACATTCGTATCTTCATTAACACTGTGAAAGTCACAGCAACTCTTGAACTCACTAAATTCATTACTATTTGCCCCAAATGAAGGCTAAATGCAGAATTTTCAAATTTCAAGGTCATCATATTGCTATAAAGACTCCTTAATTATGAGACAGCTATTAGTATCATTCTCTTTCCATATACTTGTGACCTAATTTGCATTACAGAAACAGTTATAAGAGAAAAGCATTATACTTGGGACCAGCAGATATCAGAAAGGCTCCCCAGGTAATTCTGAGGCATATCCTAAAAACTACTATTACAAAGCAATATATTTCACTGACTTCTTTTCGGTTAAATATTGAAGAAAAGACTCCTTGAGGGCTTCTTTATATGATAGGATCTAGGTATAGAACAGTGATCAAAACAAACATGATCTCTACCTGCAGAGAGTTTACAATCTTGAATTAGTACTACATCCAAACAGCTATTTTGAAGAAAAAAGAATTAGATTCCTCTTCACATCCTCATCAAAACAGAAGACAAGCAAAAGCAAACATAAAAGAGACTTATTAACAAATCACAAGAAGCCTCAAACCAAAAAGATTCACATTTTTTGGGTGGGCTTAAAAAGACCAAGAGCATAAAACATTATTTTTAAAGAAAAAAATTACTAAAATAAAAAATATTATCAAAATAGTAATAACAAATTCAAGAAGCAAATGATGAAATGGGAAAACCTTTGAACACATGAATTCTAACAACTCAATATAAAATCAAAAATCAACAGAAAAATGGGCAACAGATATGAAAAACATACACAAAACAGGAAAGGTAAATAACAAACATGAAAAAACAAAATAAATGCAAGTTTAAAACAATTCATCAAATTAATAAGGCTTGCAAGGATACAAAAGGAGGCACCTTTAAACATGGATGAAAAAGGATTAGTCCTATTCTTTTGTAAGGCAATATGGGAATACTCAAAGCTTTAAAATACGTCAACTCTGAGCTAGGCATGGTGGTACAGCTGTAATCCCACCCTCCTGGAAGAATGAGGCAGGAAGATTGCAAGTATTAGCCTGGACAATCTAGAAACTTAGCCAGACCCTGTCTCAAAATAAAAAAGGGCTGGAGATACAGCTCAGTGCAAAGGTCCTGTGTTCAAAAGGCAATTTTGAGCTGTAATAAATTATAGTAATACAAATTTACTTTAAGGTAATAAATAAGAATGTATGCAAACCTTAGGAGGCTGAGACAGGAAGATATCAACTTGGAGTCCAGACTGGGCAACTCAGTGATTTCGTGAGTTCCTATTTCAAAATTTTTTTTTTTTTTTTAAAAAAGAGCTAGGGATGGGCAGGGGATTTAGCTCAGTGGTTTCCCGCCTGCTGCACAAGCATAAGGACCCAAGTTCAATCCCCAGTACCAAAAAAAAAAAAAAAAAAATGCACATAAATAAGGAAGAATTAAAAAAAAAAAATTTTTTTTAATTTTTAAAAATTTAAAAAAAGAACATCAAAATGTTAACAGTGATTTTTGAACCCATTTATGCCAAAGGTTGCAATGTTTTTAATTTTTGCATAAAATTCATATAATACTACCTAGAAAAATTCAAGTAACAAGAATTTGAAAAGAAAAATTATTATGTTCCATTGTTACTTGTCATTCCAAAAATGGAACATTAGGCATAAAAGGATTACGTGGTAAGATTGTAAGCAACTTGTTCCTAAAGGCTTACTACCTAACTTTTTTAAAATAAATGACACACTTATTTTCAAAAAACAGTGTAAAAAAAAAAAAAAGAAAAAGAACAAGGAGTGAGAGGCTGAGGACATAGCTCAGTGGCAGAGCGCTGGCCTTGCACTGGAGGCTCTGTGTTTGGTTCCTTCTCTAGCCAAGACAAAAACAAGGTAGAGAGGGACTGTGAGGACTCCTAAAGGTCAAGGGTCCTGAGTTTTCATTCCAAGTTAAGAGGCATCAGCTAAGGTCACTTCATTTTTTTTTTTAACATCCGGTTTCTTGACTATAAAATAGGAATAGGTCATATCATGCTCCAACATGTCACATTCTAGTACGGTGACTTGTTTTACAGGATTTTGTTTTATTTTTCATACAGGGTCTCACTATGCAGGTCCAAGGACTCAACTATGTAGCCCAGGCTGGCTTCAAACTTACAGCAATCCTCCTGCCTCAGCCTCCCAAGTGTAGGGATTACAAGCATGTGCCACTGTGCCCAGCAGGTATGCGAAGTTTTTTTATTTTTTATTGTTTATTTATTTATTTTTTTGGTACCGGGGATCGAACTCGGGACCTTTTGCTTGCAAGGCAGGCGCCAGAACCACTGAGCTAAATCCCAGGCCCAAGGTATGTGAAGTTTTTAACATGTCTTTTTGCTAAAAAAAAAAAAAAAAAA